TGATAATTTTTAAATTCCAACCAAAATTTGGTTACGACAACAAAATAATTTGGTTGACACAAGAAAATAGTTTGGTCTAAAAAACCAAATTATCGTTTGTTGTCCTAACCAAAATTTGGTTGCGACAACCAAATAATTTGATTCGCTCTCAGCTCATAGCTTAAGAGAACAGTTAGTTTAAATCTCTCACAAGGATGGGTAGTCCTGTGGTCAGAGCTCCCGATCTTCAGCTTTAAAACAGAGGTTCGATCCCAGGCGGAGATGAGATTTTTCAAAGTCCACAAATATTTCAATTGGATAAATATAAATTCAATGTTAAATTAATAATAAATAAATAATAAAATAAACAAAAAAGATAAAATGAAAAAAAATAAGGTAGAATAAAATTTTTAAATTTACAAAAAAACTGTTTGTTTGATCAACCAAACATTTTTGAAGACCTAACAAAAAAATTGGTTGAGCTAACCAAACATTTTTGTTATGCCAACAAAAAACACTCAACCAAATTTTTTGGTTGACTCAAACAAATAGTTTGGTTGCTTAAATACCAACAAAATTTTGTTGTTGGCCCAACCAAATTTTGGTTGCTCTGACTAAACATTTTTCTCAGTGTTTCTCAATTTTTTTGGATATTTTTTATGACGAAAAGTGCTTTAAAGGTGGTAATTGGGGTCTTCCTCTACTCCGATCGAGCGCTCAATTTTTTTCTTCACTTTTAGGTGTATTTTGTGCCCGAATTTGCAATAAAATAGTCTGCCTAAGAAAAATTAAATTTTTTTGGAAAGTTTTTTATGACCAAAAGTGCTTTAAAGGTGGTAATTGGGGTCTTCCTCTACTCGGATCGGGCGCTCAATTTTTTTCTACACTTTTACGTGTATTTTGTACCAGAAATTGCATTAAAAAAGTCTGCCTAAGAAGAATTAAATTTTTTTGGAAAGTTTTTTTGATGAAAAATGCTTTCGATTGGTATATATAAAGTATAGTTTTTTTAAATTTAAATTTAAAGAATTAATGAATTAATGAAAACGAATCGATTAGTATATATATGAAGTATACATTTGAGGTAAATTTAATAAATTAATGAAAGTTAAAAAAAAAAATTCCCAGTTTAGCTGAAAAATTTTGTATTTATTTAAATTCAAGTTTAAATATGAAATAATTATGTTTCTTGAATTGAAACAATCCGATATAATTGTAAATAATTATAAATTATATATTATTTTTCATTAATTTTTAGAAATTTCAGCTAGAATATGAATTTTTGATTTTTTAACTTCCATTAATTTTTTTAATTTAACCTAAATGTATACTCAAATGTTTATATTATTATATTATTAATGTATGTTTATTTTAATGTTAATGCTTTCTTTACGAGGAAGCAAATTTTTTTTCCTGATCGTAAAGAGGAATCACAATGTTCATGACATGAACATTGTGCAGATGTAAATTCAGATGTTCATTACATGAACTTCATGTAATGAACATCTGAATTTACATCTTGTTTGGAAAGTTTTTATAATTATTATATGTACTTAGTTCCTTAGTGGGCTTACAGCCCTAGGAGCTTGATTTCATTAAATAAATATTTATAAAATTTTTAACCACAAACCAAAATTTTTGAGGTTAAGTTTTCTAAAAAATAAAATATTAAGGAAAAAATAAAAAAATAAAATTTTATGTCAACTTTATCAGTTTCTGAATTTTGTATATTAATTTATTTATTATTAATTAATTTATCTGAAAATTTAATTCAATATTATTATTTCTATAGTTTTTTATCGTTTTCAATACCAAGTGTCGTTCACTGTCAGGGTGTCGGTCACTGAACATGTTACAAACAAAATTTGAAAACAAAAATATAAAAGGAAATTAGCAAAATAAATAAAATAAGCATCAAAGAGTATTCAAAGGACTGAGTATACAAAAATAATAAAATAAATTAATATACAAAAGGAATAAAAATAAAATATACGAAAATAATAAAAATAAATAAAGAACAATTTACCAAATAATACGATGATAAAAAAATTAGCAATTAGTGAGTCGTGTTTTTATGCCTGCGAAGCGGATTGTAACTCGAAGTTTTTAGGTTAGCTGTCGCCAGAGGAAAAAAAAACTCGTGCTTCGTCTTATTCGAAAATATTGTGCTCGTCAATAACCCGAGTAGAAATTTGTAATGGCGCTAGCTCGCGGCGCGAGACTCCATAAGCGATAACATGGCATCTAGCGCTTCCATCCTAGCGCCATTACAAATTTCTACTCGGGAAACTCGGTGTTCACACCCTTGGTGCATATTATACTATTTACATCGCAGACTTTAATTATTAATAATTTGTATACAAGATAAATTCACGAAATATAATAATTGCTATCCCGTAACCTCTGTTATCACACATCGACGCCATTTCTATGACGAGGGAACCGATATATCGACATTAACAAATCAAACGTTTCGATTCTGCGCATAAGCAATATAATATCGATTAGTTAAAATTATATCGCGCGGGAACTTTTAAAATAAATTGTAAATAATAAGAAGTTTTGAAAAATAAGCTTTTAATTTAATCTACAATAAGATATTGACTATTTCGAATATCCATTTAACGGACGAAAAAAATTAAATAAAATTCCATAAAGGGCGGTAAAATTAAAATTAATTTTAAATCTTCTAAAACTTTATTATCCTACAATTATTAGATATCACTTTTAGAAATAGAAAATAACATCTCACGATGACTCAGGAATCAGAAATTTACATAAATAAAATAAGAATAAATAATTATAATTTAAAATTAGCATTAATTCGATTAATTTTGAAATATGGCTGCAACTTTCAAGATGTAATAAAATTTTAGATAAACCGAATAAAATATCAATTATTTTAAACTTATTTAATAAAAAATGTTTAAATTGTAAAATTAATAAAAAAATTTACGTTATACAATGTATAATAATTTCAGAGTTCTTATACCCAGTTTAATAACCAAAATTTATGATCTTTTCGTGAATATGGGCAATTGGGAAAATTAATACTATTACTGAACTTTGGGTGAGGTTCGATACTAATCTTTTTTTGCTCTCCATTAAAAAAGAATCAATTTCACTCTTTTCAATTAAATTATCAGCGGTTCTATTGTTTCTTTTTTTTTTATTTCGAAAAGTTTTAGAAATTTTTTTTTTTTTCAATAAAAAGTTATCACCTTTTTTTTATTACATAATAGCTACTTAAAACTTTATAATTTCAACCTAATTTGTCTTCGTAATTTTAATAGTAGATTTACTTAAAAAAAATTTTAATTACTTATTGTTAGAATATTTATTGATTTTGTTTGTTGATTTTAAAAAATTATACCTGCGTATTTTCAATGTTACACATTATATTAATATGAATATTATTTTGACTACTTTTTTCGTAGCGTCGCGACTTAAAAGTCTAGAGCCATCGCGCAAGTAGTGTAAGTCAATTTTCGTCTGATTTCTCATCATTTATATTGTGTGCCTCGGCAACAAGGGGAACGAGACGATTTTGGTCCGACAATATATCAATGCAATGCGTCATTACACATGAAGATAAAAAATACATTAATCACTATTCATATACAATTTTTTTTTTAAATTTTGATTTTTAAAGAAGAAATTTGATCATCTTCAAAAAGTATTTCGAGAAAACTCGGAAAATGCTAAACACGAAAAACAAATATAGTAATAAAGATTTTTTCCAGAGAAAACGATTTTAATGCATATAAATAAGGAACGCATGATTATATTCTAAAAATCATTAGTTAGAATTTTCATTTTATGGAATTTTATTTGTCATAATATTATTTTTGAGCTGAATTTTTATTTTTTCGAATTTGTATTTTGCAGAATTTTCATCAAACGGATTTTCTATATTACAGAATTTTTATATAACCGAAAATTCACTTCACAAAATTTTTATTTCTTCGCATTTTCATTTAACATAATAGGCATTTGAAAGAAATTTTATTGGGTAGAGTTTCATTGCATAGAATTTTTATTTTATTCTTTTAGATGAATTTTCATTTGTTCGAATTATTATTTGATATAATTTCCATTTAACCGATTTTTTACACTACAGAATATTTACTTAACCGAAAAATCATTCAACAGAATTTCTAATTGACAGAATTTTCATTCGTCCGAAATTACAAATGACTGAACAAACAATCGATTTTGGCACGATTTTTAAAATCAACCAATCAAAAATTATACATAAAATTATTGTGATTGGTTGATTTCAAAAATCGCGCCAAAATCGATTGTTTGTTCAGCCATTTGCAATTTCGGACGAATGAAAATTCTGTTAAATGATTTTTCGGTTAAGTAAAAATTCTGTAGTGTAAAAAAACGGTTATATGGAAATTATATCAAATAATAATTCGAACAAATGAAAATTCTATGCAATAAAATTCTACCCAATAAAATTTCTTTCAAATGCCTATTATGTTAAATGAAAATGCAAAGAAATAAAAATTCTGTGAAGTAAATTTTCGGTTGTAGAAAAATTCTGTAATATAGAAAATCCGTTTGATGAAAATTTTGCAAAATACAAATTCGAAAAAATAAAAATTCGGCTCAAATATAATATTATGACAAATGAAATTCCATAAAATGAAAATTCTAACTAATGATTTTTAGAACATAATCATTGCGTCTCATAAATAATTATACTTGATAGAGAAAGATTATTAAAAAAAAAAAGTGTAGCAAAATTATCTTAGGGGTATTTATTATTCAGCAGTCATAAATCATGTTTAGGGTTACACTAATGAGATAATAATTTTTTTCGACTACTTTTTAACGTGAAAAAACTAAATATATTTTCCACACCTTATAAGGTGATGTTTACAAACTATAAATTAAAAAAAAAAATGAATCAAAAAAATTCAAAAAAAATATCGACACAATCTTCTTGTATAAATAAAAGTAAAAATATAAATAATAGTCAGTCAATTGAAAAGAATTTAATTCGAAATTTAAAGCCAATTTTTTTTATTTCTCGATTTTTCGGAGTGTCACCCTACACAATAACAAGTACAAAAATTTCTATATCAAATGCTGGAGTTATATATTCAGGAATACTTCTAATTTATTATATCTATATTATTGGTGTGCGTTTAAAAGTGGTTTACAATCAGAATATTGATGTGAAATTAAAAATAATGACATTTACAAGAATAATACTTTTGATTTTTATTACAATTTCTGACACTATTCTTTCCATTTATTGGGATCGAAAATTACAGAATTGTTTAAATAGCATTTGTTATTATGCAAAAATATTAAATTTTCAACAAAAGAAAAAAAATCGTTTCATAATAATAAGTTGGTCTTTAATTATTGTTACAATGATTTTTTATCTTTTTATGGCAATAATGTCATATTTTTATGACAATGATAAAGGACTAGTTGCACTTATAGACATTACAATTTTTCCAGCTATAACATTTATTATTTTAAAATTTATACTAATTGTGATTGTTATTCGTAAAATGTTTCAAGATCTTAATTTTTATTTAACAAAAGGTTAAGTACAATTATATTTTCATCTATACTGCCGTACGATGTAAAAACTTAGTTAAGTCATATTTTTGACAAAAATGAGTTTTTGATATCAATGGATTCGTAAGAAAAAACTGCGTCTGATTACGTTATTAAAAAATTTTTATTTTAATTATTTATTGCAAAAAATAGTTATTAAAAATCTACAAAAACTTAGAAAATGAAAGAATACTTGATAAAAACTCAGTTAACTCGAGTTGAGTAGTCCTAAAATCGTAGGAAGCGTTGAGATCGAGCATAAGATACGAAATAAAAACTTAGTTAACTCGACTTGAGTGTTTTCTCTTTCGAAAAGTGGCATGAGCCGGACACTGCATTTCGATGGGAGCAAGCGTAAGTCAACTTCGTTAAAGTTCGGATTTTCGTCGGGTGAATTCGGAGTCCCATGCATTTAGCTTGAGTTAACTAAGTTCTTACTTCTGAACGAAAACTCGCGCTCGCCTACCTTTTCGAAAAGCACTACGTAACTTGAGTTAACCAAGTTTTGCTTTTAAGAAATAAAACGTAAGTCAATTATTTAATATAATTTGTTTAAATAATTAACTTTTGACTTCAGAATTAAAAAGAACTCTATCAAATTACCTAGGAAGTGAAGTTAGATTAAAGAATTGTTTATATTACATTAGGTTTTTAAATACAAACAGTTTTTCGTCATTTTCTCCGTTCGAACAAAATATGACTTAACTAAGTTTTTATTTCGCACGGCAGTATACGATTTAAAATACCTTAAAAAAATTAATAAAACTAATTTATTTTTTAAACAGAGTTTTCTTCTAGTGATGAATTTTATGTAAGCAAAACAGGTGCTTTTCAAGATTTATGGACACTACACGATCAATTAAACACAGCAATTAAAGATTTGAATTCACTATATTCAATTCAATTGTTTCTATGGATATTAATGGTGACTTTTAATATAATGTCAAGAACCTATCAATTGTTTATAATAAAAACATTCAGATATTTCTTTAATGACTTGCGAGAAAGTCTTTTCTTGTTTTATTACATTACAATATTGACATCAGTGTCAATAGTCTGCCAACTGACTGCCAAGGAAGTGAGTAAAAAAAGAACAAAAAATTACAACACGCAATTCTTAAATATAACCTAAAAAATAATGGAGTTTGTATATTTATTATACACGGACGGAGAATTTTGAGCGTTATCACATTTTTTTAAATTAATTTTAAAGTCATTTTATGAGACTATTATACATCTACTGCAAGTTTTTTTTTTCAAAGTTTTGCATCCCTTAATACAGTAATATACTTAAGAAAACTTTTTTTCTTAAACCTTTCTTAGAACCTTTGCTGTGCCCATTTACCCCAAATTTTATGAAATTTTCTAAATCTTGGGGTAAATGGGGACTGTTAGTTTCATGCGTTTAAAGCTGATCTAAATTTTTTTTTCTGCTGCATAAAATAATCCTAGGAATGTAAATAACAACTTAAAAAAAACAAAACCCGCAGATATTAACTTTTCAAGCAAGAAACTTACGTAATTTTTGAAAAATAGGGATTTTGTCTCCATTTACCTCAACTGACACTAGGTAAAAATATTTATTTTTATTTCGTAAATTTCAGGCTTCCCCGTGACGATTTGGCTCTTTAATTTGCATTTTAAAAATAATATTTAATTTTATAAATTAAAGTGACTATAGACTCGTGGAGAATCACCCATATATAATTTTTTTTCAGGCCAATAAGATGTCATCAATTATATTTTCACCTGGATATTTTTTGAAACATCCGCAATACTGTAAAAATGTAATTATTTATATTTTAAATTATTTGCATAACCCGTGTGGAAAACGCCCCGTTCGTCCCATGCGTGATAGGGGCCCCCGGCAGGGTCCCAAGTGGAAAATCCATGAGGGCAAATCCATGCGGGCACCAGCAGGGCCCCCGCTATTTGCCCTCACGGTGCCCTGCTCAAAAATTTTTCTAAGTTCAAAATTCAAATATTTTTTCATCAACACAAAATGAATGTTTCCAATGATTCAGAACAACGAAAAACGCGTTTTCAATAAAAATATATTTACACTTTTTTGAAAATAACACTCACACTTATGGCAAAATAGATGAGGGCCATCGTAGGGGCCCGCATGGATCGCCCTCATGATCGATTAGCAAAATTTTCTAAGTCCAAAATTCAAATATTTTTTCGTCAACAAAAAATGAATGTTTCCAATGATTCAAAACAACGAAAAACGCGTTTTTAATAAAAATATATTTACACTTTTTTGAAAATTCACCTGACATGAGATGATTCATGATAATAATCATAAAGCATATAATTAATTATATTTTATAAATTGCATTTGATTGGAAAATATAATTTAATATCTTAACTTGAACTAAATGATGTTAAGCACTTTTCTTTGTTAGGTACTTTTTAAGTTTAAATAGCATCAAGAAGTTAGCATTCGTTTTGAAGTAGCGTGCGTAGCGTAGTTGGTAAAGCGTTAGACTCATAGTCCGTAGGTCGTAGGTTCGATTCCCCCCATGCGTTAGATTTATTTATTTCTCAGGTTTGCGTTTAATCATTAATTCTATGTATGAATTAATTGAAAAATGAAAATATCCGTCAATAGTATGCATAAATTACATATTTTTTAATTTTTTAATTAATTAATTTATTATTACTTTTAATTATATCCGACAGTTAATTAATTAGAACGTTAATTAATAAATTCAATTTGAGTAAGAATTTAATTTAAAATTGAATAATTATTAAATAAATATGTTATTTATTCATAACTTAAGCTTATTTATTATTAATTAACTTTTATAATATAAATTTATAAAATTTATAAATAAAATATAATGGAATCCACGAGGATTTTCCATGAGAGTACCCATGAGGGAAAGCATGTCACGCCTTTGAGGGCTCCACGTGGATTGCCCCTATGGTTTCCATGCGGCACGAGGGCAATCCACGAGTGCCCCTCACGGGGCCATTGCCAATTTTCCACACGGGAAATAATTAAAATATTAAACAAGTTCCTTTAATAATTTTTTCCCCCATCAAGCTTTTCTTAGCAGAACACTACTTTGCACGCACTCTGTTGTCAGTTTTTGGTACTACAAAACACTGCACTGTATTTTTACAGTTCCATACTAAAATAGAAGGGAGCTATGCAAATACAATGCTTATTAGTCGTAAATAAAAATAAAATTGAATATCACAAAATGTTATAATACAAAAAAATTAATATTTTATTATTATACAGGGTGTTCAAAAATTATGAAAACTTTCAAATATCTCAAAAAGTATGTATTTTCGTGATACTTCTTTTTTCACTGTTGGGTCACAGGCCCAATGTTTTTGGATTCAAAAATGTGGATCTTTTTGTTGAGAAAAACTTTTGTGTTGAACATTTTTTACGAAAATACGTACTTTTCGAGATATTTGTAAGTTTCCATACTTTTTGAACATTCTGTATAAATAATGATTATGTCTAATTGAATGCTTTTATTGTGATTACTTTTTTAATTTGAAACTTTTATTATTTAATTTTTTTATTTTATTATTTTTATTAAATTTAAACAACAATAATAAAATTTAATTTTTTTTAAAGATTTATTTATTCATAAAAGTAATAAATATTTAATTTGCTTCATCTTTATTTTTAGGAGAAATTAATTATGGGATACTACTTTCTCAACCATTCATTCAATTTTACAGCAGCTTTTGGACTTTTTCCTATCGATAATCAATTACTTCTTTCTGTAAGTCATTAATTTCAAAATTTACAAATTGTATGATGTCTATAAAAATAATGTAAAAAAAAAAATTATTTGCTCGCAGATAGCTGGGGCAGTCACGACGTATTATGTAATCCTAATAGGACCTACAAAGTTATCGAATTCGTGATGAACAAGCATATTTCGGATTGATGAATATCGTGTATATATATAGTCCACTCTACAAATGTTTTCTTAGCTTCTAATTTAAAAGCTTTTTGATTTTAAAGATAATTTTATATAAATATATATATGGGACGTTTTGCGCCAACAAGAAAAAAAATATTTTATACACCATAAACGAAAGCAATAAATTTCAAAAATTCAAAATGGCGCATCCAATATGGCGAACGAAAATTCTTGAACGGAGAAACTTTAGTTTATAAAATTTGATATTATGAGACTAAATTTTACAAAAGGCCAATAGTAAACGAGGATATAGCTTTACCTTTGTGAAAATTACTATTTAAATATTATACTGTGAGTGAGTATTCTTAATTTGGAAAGAGTAATATAATAATTATGGATTTATATTTCTAAACTTTAGGAAATTTTAATAAAAAAAAAAATACGAAACTGAAGTTGCTGAATCGTTGAAAACGAGCTTTATAAATATATTAATAACTGAAAAAGAATTATGAAATTAACAAAAAATATGGTAAATATCCATCTCGTGTGAAAATAAAATTACTATAGTGTTTTAGGAATATTGATATAAAAGTTAAAAAGCCCTCCACAATAATAGAAAAAAATTACTACTACATATACTAAATTTTACCATAGTCGATATTAAATGTTCAA